ATGGATAGAATACGATAATTTTAGAAACATTGTAGAAGTAGGTAGAGGTGAGTTTTTTATAGTGTATAAAACATCATATAGAGATTGTTGTGAAATACATTCTGTTGGTTTGTATTATCAGAACGGGATAGCAGTAGAAAAGAAAAAGATTTGGCATTTGAATGGTATTTAAAATCAGATGTTACTCAACATAATTGTGGTAATAATAACTATTTCCGATGGATAGAATACGATAATTTTAGAAACAGTGTAGAAGTAGATAGAGGTGGTTTTTTATAGTGTATAAAAAATATCATATAAAAATCGCTATTCTACGTATAAATAATATAAATAAGTTGCAATCAAGATAATAAAAGATTCGCATAAAAATAAGCAACTTTTTTTAAACAAAGTATTAAATTTATTATCCCCTCACGCGAACTCAAGTTATCACCCATATCTCTTGATCATCGTCCGCTTTTGTCTTATTATCACCCTTAAGATCATCGCCCTTAATAAGATATTCTTAATTTATCATTGTTCTTGATATCGCCCCCTTGATCAATACTATTAATGGTATCATCCGTCATTGCATCACCCTTTATCATCCCTCATTGATATTAAGTATTCACTGTAGCATCCTATTGTCTATTTAGTTCTTCAATTATAAAGACCCACTTCGCTTACTTCAAGTTTATCATTATCTTCCTGTATAGAAAAAATAAAATTACTTAATATAATATTGTATATAATAAAATATTAAAATTATATATTTTTTAATTAATATAGTACAGTATTTATATTATTATATTACTAAGCCAGCTTAAATGAGCCAGTTCGGGTCAGCTCAGCTCCAACCTGTGTTCAGAGCTGGCTTCATTATGAGCTGATCTCATCCCTAGTAATTGGTGAATTCAAGCCTTGGTGGCAAGTGACGTTGTTTAACGAAATTGGAGTTGAAAATGGAATGTGAAAACTTAGTAACGTTGGTGAAAAATATTGTGGAAATGGTGGTTAAAGAAGTTGTACAAAACCTGAGAACAATTCAAGGGAAATGGCAAAGACGTTAGTTGCGTCTCTGTTATGTTTGTCACCGTAAAGGGCACTTGGCTCGTTCATGTCTGTCCCAAAAGGATCAGGTTTGTGGTCAACGTTTGAATAATAAGTGGATGGATGTACATCATGTAGATGTTAGTGAAAAAAGGAATTTTGAATGTCGAAAATTTAGTATAAAAGTAAAGGTTAAGGACAATAACGATGCAGTGGAAAAGTTGGTGAAAATTAATGGAGAATTCGCAAAAACGTCGATTAGGCTTAGTTCGTCCTTAAATTTAATAAACATGAACTATATGAAAAGGAAAAGGCTAACCTGAAGATATTTGAACAAGGGATCAAGCATTGGTGGTATGGATAATATCATTGGATGTGTCTCTGGTGCTGATGTTGTCGTGTGTAGTGTTGGTGTAAATCAGATGTTTTACATCATACGTGAGTTGACTTCGGATATAGTTCTTGGAATGCCATGGGTCGCAAGATCTAGATGCAACATTCAGTAGAAAAATGGCCAGTGCTGTTATACAATTGAATCAGACTCCAGAAAAGCATCATTTGTAGTAAATGAGGATTGTGTGATAGAGAATAGTGAAGACGGGAGAAATGATTTTATGGATATTAAGTGCATTAGAAGTGAATCGATGGAGAATGATAATGTCGATTATGATGAGAAAAAGAAATGTGAAATCGTTAATATGATGGACTTTGATGAATCGAATCAAATGGGTAAAATGAAAGTTGAAAACTTACCTAATGAGTTCCTTGAAGTTGGCGAAGTAATGCCTGAATTAAAATTTGCTGAAAGTGTGAGCGATGATGCGGAGAATGATAATAAAAGGGGTGAAGCTGCAGATGGTAGAACGAACGATTCTGCAAATTGCCCTGAAGGTAAAATGGAGAGGAAAAAGGAAAAGCTGATAGTGTTTAATAATCATCGAAAATCTGTTGAAAATAAGCATAAAGCATCCGAGCATCTGATTATTATCAGCAATCTGCTAATACAAGCCATGTAAAAAAAATGAACAGTAGCGATAATATATGTGGTGTTAGTTGCCGTTATGCAAATAGAATCGGAGATAAAATGGAAAAGCATAAGGCAGTCGGGTATTACCAGAAGTCTGCAGATAGTAACAACTATTCAAAGATTAAAAACCAACTTGGTGGCTCTGATGAAAAGAAGGCATTCGAACATTTTCAAAAACCAGTAGAGACAAGTCATGCTAATGGAATATGCAAAAGCACAACCAAGGAGAATGATGAAGGTAGCACAGTTGTTGCTAATGGAAAAAATGTCAAATCTGGAGGATCTAGCTCAAATTTTAGAGCCGGAGGTCGTAAGAAGGTAATACTGATGAATGAAAGAGG